TCATTGAAAAATTTTCTCTCCTCAACCAATGATACTGATCTTATTTCGGGCGTAATCATAGCAACAACGGGGGAAAAAATGAAAGAATGATGATTAAAGATAGATTGGGCCAGATTTATTATCATTTCATTTTTGTTCAAAATGAAAAAAATTTTCACTATTCCAATAGAAAAAAAAATGTTTTGATTTGCATCTTGTGAATTGCTTACGAATCAAAAGATATGCTGGGAAATTGACTATTGAAATTGGAAAAAAAACAAACTATAAATCATCAACAAGATTAATCCAAACCAACTGATTCAAATTAGGATTAATATTCACACATATAAATCTAAAGTTGGAAGATTATTTTTGTCAAAAATAGCATTATTTTTCTGTTCATCATTTCCGGAAAATTTGTACCATGTGGATTGGAACAACAAATAAGCAATAATCAAGTATCTCAGGTATTTAGTTTTTTTTTCATAAATGTGAAACAATTTAACATCATACACACACACACACACACACACACACACAAAACATATGTGCAAAAAATATTTTCAATTCAAGTGTCAGTCACTGTGTATTTGTGTGTGTCTATGCGCGTAGGAAGATGATGGCCCGATAAATTACTTTTTTGTTGTTGTTGTTGTTGCCTTCAATTTATAAAAAACAACAACAACAACAACGAGAAAAAAAACACTTGTCATCACTATTATCATCAAATATAACAAGAACACACACACACAAAAACACTCGACCACAATAACAATTCTTTTTTTTGTAGAAAAAAAAGTTTTGAATGAATAAGCTACATTTTTTTGTGCTTCAAACACACACACACACACACACAAAAAATATGGCTGATTATTCTTTTCTATTCACTATAGTTATAATCATCAATGTTTATTGAATTGCTAAAGAGTTATGGGGATTTCAGGGCCAACAAGATCATCATCATCATCATCATCATTGTTGTTGTTGTTGTTGTTATTGTTGGTGTTTATGCGAAACAATCAAATACAGATGAATAAATGTGCAACATGCACACACTCACACACATACAAAACACAAAGATTCTATTCACTAGTTGGACCAATATAGTCCCGTTATTAATTCAATTTTCCGCAACATCAACAAGAAACAAAAAAATTGGTCAGAAAAAAAATGATTGCCGAGGAATTAAATTTTGATTTTTTTTATTGAAAGATAAATTTTGAAATTTCCGATTAATGTCATTACGAACAACAACAACAAAAAAAAAAAAATTTATCCAAAAACATGTTAGACACACAAACACAATGGTATTGGAATAAAAAAGATTCTGATGATTGTGTGAAAGCAATATAAAAAAAAACCCTAATGTTCAGGAAACCTTTTTTTTCTCGTTCAACCTTGAATATATGTGTTTAACAAATTAAAGAAATGATTTTCTTAAATATCAAATCATCACTCTAATTCAATCAAAAAATGCATACACACACACACACACATTCTCATCACACATCATTGTGAATGATTTGAATCATCAAATTTCATTAATATTAAAAATAAAAAGATTTTATTTTTTTGATTAAAATCTCAACCTGTAACCTTGATCAAACATTAATATGTGTGATGATATATATGTGTGGAAATTATTGTTTCATTCTAAAACAAAACAAAATGAAAAAGTTCTGGGTAAGTACAATAATAATAATAATAAAAAAAATATTTCACCTGGATATCACAAACGTATTTCATTATGATTGCTTTTTTTATGCCAGAGTTTGAATTCATTATTATGATGATAAAAATGGCCATAAATCTTGTTTGCGTTTCATATAACATACGAATTAAAATCTAGCTATATTTTTAAATTGTTCCAACAACAAAAATGATGACACTTGTTGATTAAAAAACATTCAAATTAATGGCCAACCGACCGACCGACTTCAATGATATGATGATTTAGACATTTTTTTTTTTTTGTTTTGTTTGTATTTTATTTACAACATTGGCTATGAAAAACCCAACCTTATGCTAATTGAGAAATTTTTTTTAGCGGGAAAAATTTTCCCTTCCCAAATATTTTTACTATCATATTTCGGGTGCATTCATCATCATCATCATCATCATCATCATCATAAATCTGTCCGGTATATACTTGTAAACATAACAACAAAGAAAGAAATGTAAAACAAGCCATCAAATTGTAAATGTTTCGTTGTTGTGGTCACTCCTCATAATAATAATCATAATAATCATAATGATAATGGTTGATGTGTGGGAAAATATTTTCTTGAACCATTAACCATAACGACCAAATTAAAAAAAAAAGAAATAAACAACAATAACACAACATCAATATTATGATCTTGATCTTATATCACATGAAAGTCTATATTATCATTTAAAGTTGTTGTTGAATAATCTATTTGAAAAAAAAAACAAGTTTCAGGATAATTTTTAATGTTTGGAACTACAATGAATGAATGAATGAATGATCGTTATTTATGACCAACTATTAGAGATGTACAGATAATAAGAATGTGAGAATTTGGATGACCATGAAAATATTTCATAAATAAAGGGGCCATATTCATAAACGTTTTTTTTTCTTTTTATATTCATATTCACATATCTTGGAACACAGACACACATACAAGAGTGAATGAGTCAGGATCAGGACAATCATTATATGGACAAATGACAAACACACATATCGTTCCTGTTTTGTGTGTTGTTGGTTTGTGTGATAAAATGAAAAAAAAAATGGCCAATGATCATCATATGTGTGATGGGAGATATCGTATAACTCGATTGGGCCATTCATTATTAACACAATAATAATTTTCAAGCAAACAAATCAATTTACATTTGAATTATTCATTTTCATCATTTTTGACCAAAAAAAAAAAAAGTGAAAATCAGAAAGTTAGCCATCCATTCAATTGGTTTACCAGATTAAGTTTCCTTATAGAAAAAAAAACAGCTTCAGGTGATTGAAAAATAAATCCAACAAAAAAAACCGCTTCAAATTAGATCGAGGTACAGCAAAGAAAACAACAAAGTTTTCCTTAGGCTTTGGCCACATTCATTCATACAAAAAAAAACTACGACTATCCCATTTTTCATTTTTTTTTTTTTTGGGATTTATTTTTTACGGGTAAAAATCCTTTTCATTATTTTACGATTATCGATGGCTAGTTTAGTGAGTGTATAAGGATGTAGTAGAAAGAAAAAAAAACCAAATCCACATCCGAAATAAATGAATAAAAGCCAATTCAGATAAATCAAAAAAAAGGGATAAATAAATCGTGATTGTGGCCATCGATTCATTATTAAGCTCATCATCATCATCATCATCATTGTTGGTTAAGCCATAAACACAAACACATTCAATTCAATTTCTATCACCAGAAATACAGAAAAATTTTTCCGGTCAAGCATAAATTATAAGCATTGAAAAATAAACAGAGAGAAATGAATAAATTCGGATTCAAAACAAGTTAATATGAAAAAAAAGGAAATGTTGATGATCTATTCATTGATTGGCCCAAGCGCTTTGTATCATTAAACAAGTCATGATTATATGACAGGGGTGGCGAACGTGCGCCCCCTGTTCAATAGAGCTCTGTGGGAAATTGGCACGCGTGCCAATAGGTTCGCCATCCCTGTTATATGACGATGATGATTAGAATTGATCGCGTGCAATATACAGACGACTACTAATAACCAATCATAATTATGAAGAAGAAAAATAAATTATATGAGGATGATGATTATCCATGGATCCATAATGTCCACTATATAAATATGCCTAAGGATCAATTTGATGATTTCATTTAGGAAAAAAAGCCCCATCCACAACAAACAAACACAGACACTTATTAGTGAATGATAAAAAAAACTTGCAATGGGTTAAATATATATGTTTATCTATCTTTTCACTTAAACTTTTACAAAAGGCCAATTCGATAATGATGAATAATTAATGTGTTAATAAATTATTTGTACAAAAAAAAATATGTTATGCCTTCTTTTTTCCAAGAAATTTGGATTTTTTTTTCTTTTCAAAATTAATTTTTCCAAAACGAACAAACAGATAAAAAAAATATGTGAAAAATGTAAAATGAATTTACAACTAACGCGAGTAATGATAATCATGATTACGAAAATCAATCGATGAGATTAAAGATCATTATCTTAATATATGATGATTATTTTTATTCCAGATACGATTCAATCATCATTAACAACAACAACAACAACAAAAAAAAAACACAAAATGAAATGATCATTATGGCGGTCATCATCATTGGATGGATGCTAATAATATTTATAATGGATTGATGTGTTTTGGCCACAAACAGACAACATGCATTATATCAAAGTTCCGATCTTTATATGTTTATCTGTACATCATATCAATGTTAACCATTAAAGCAAATATAATCAAAACATCTGTATATGAAATGAAATGAAGAAAAAAAAACATTGAATTCAAAATTGAATTTAATTTCAATTTTTTTTTTTTTCTTTTTTGCTAAAATGTGTCTAAAACATTCTCGATGAATAGATGAATGTATAAACTCCATTTTAGAGGTTAACATTGATGTTTTATGTGTGTGTTAGATGTATTCTAGTCACGATTCAACGATATATATTCACTTTTTGTTTTCGTATCATCACTTGATGTTGATTCGTTTTTTTTTCTTTCTTTCTTTCTTATTTTCTATCATCACCATCATCACCATCTTGATGATGATAATGGCTATTAAATGACATTTAGCAAAACTATGTTTTATTAGGTTAAAGTCAAGATATATAATCCATCTGAAAACACAAACATTCAAACAATCAAAAAAAAAAAAAAAAATAAAATAAAATAAAATTGTTTCAGAGATAATTAGATTAATAGAAATCGAAATAGGAACAAAAAAAGAAACAAATTGATTTATTTGCACTAAGAATATATGAATTTAATTCGAAAATCAAAGCCGATTAAGTATAAATAAGAATAAATTCTGAAATTTGAATATCCTCTAAATTTCATAATAATGGATCGAAAGCAGTCATCAAAAAGACAATTATCATCATCATCATTATCATCAGTAGCAGCAGCAGCATTAAGACCAGGACCATCATCACAAATTAATTCAACTACTAGACGACAGAAAAGATCACAATATTTTCCATTATCAAGGATACGTTACTTTCTAGAGAATTTTTCACATTGTAAAACAATTTCTGAACCAGCATCAATGGCCTGTGCTGTTATCATTGAAATTGCTATGAATGAATTATTACATATAGCCACGGAAGTGGCACTTGATGAAGGTCGTCATAAAGTAAGTTGTCGTCATATTATATCAGCATTACATAATTCAGAATGGTTACAAGAACTTTTTGGTCAAAGTGGTATGCTTCCACCAGCAGAATTCAGTAGTAGTGATAATCAGCAACGAATGCAACAACGTCGTTCACGTTCATCTCGTAATCTGTATCGTAGTAAAAGTTCTCATAGACGATCCAAATCAAAAATGAAACGATCAAAACTAAATGTACGTTGAAAGAGACACATAAATACACACACACACACACACAATGTGAAGATGTTATAGTTTTCCACATTTCCATATGAATGAATAAATTTTGTATTTGAAAAAAACAAATGAGAAATTTCTCAATTGCTCAGAGATCATCATTATGATTAAAATCTTGTAAAGTGCGCCATTTCACCATTATTTTCAAAAATGATGTTCATATGTTTGTCGCGCAAAGCTAATGAATGATTTTCATTTAAAATTTTTTTTTCACAATTTTATTTAGATTTATAAATCTAACAACAAACAATTTTTCCGTGTGAATATGATGACCTTTCACACACACGCATATAGACTTTATAGTGGAATTAACAAAAAAAATTATCCCATCGCAATGAAATGAATGAAATTGACCTCAAATTAACACGAAAAATTTTGGTGAATTGCTGAAAAAAAACCAATTACAAGAATGTGTAAAAGAAAAATTCAATCAATTTCAACAACAATAATCCACACAGTGTGAAACACTTGTATCAATTTCTCAAAAAAAAGATTGGGTGTAGGTGTGCAAGTGTGTGTGTGTGTGTGTGTGTGTGTGTGTGTGTGTGTTTGTTCATCACAGTAGCCAATCATTTAAGAACATTGAAAAGGCGCTAACTACAAATACGGCGTCGTATCAAGTATATATGTGTGAAAAACAAAACAAAACAAAAAAAAATATTGCAAGCCGGAAAATATACCTTAAAAAGTGGAAGAAATCTGAATGATGATCAAATAGAACAACAACAACAACAAAAAAACACTTGAATAAATCAAAAAAAAAAAAAAAACATTTGTCTTTTTTGTTTGTATGATGAATATATCATAAAAATAGCATTCCTGCAGGATTTATATTCAGAAAAGTCATCACCATAATATCCAAATCCCTACCATCATATAAAACAATAGATTTTTCGTTACCATAATGATTTTGAGCAAAATAAAAAATGTTATTACATAACAAAAAAAGTGAATAAAAATGTAAAATTATAATAATTCAAACATATATTATACATGATTATGCAAAAACAACGAAAAAAAAATTATTTATTTCAGATCTCACCAAACATGTGGTGGGAATATATGGAAATATTTGACAGAAAAAAAAGAAAATTAATCTGTGGTAACTCTAATGATGATGATAATGATGATCATGATGATGATGGAAAAGGGAACAATTTATTAATTATCAAAAAAAAAAAAAAAAAAAAAAAATAAAAGCATACCAAATGGAATATATCCATATCATATCATCCATCATATGTTATAAGTATATTTCTTCTTCACATTCATCTAATGACATTCTACTATCAATGAATGTAGAATGTTTGAAATCAAACATAATTTATGTGCATGGAAAATGTCAAAGTGTGAATGTGTGTGTGTGTGTGTATTTGAACGACAGAAAATAAGCAGAATTATACTGAATGGCACCAAGTTACAAATATAGTGTGAAAAAAACTCTACCAATTTCTTTTTATCAATTTCATTTCTGTATGTGTGTCTGTGTCTGTGTGTTTGTGTGGGAAAAAAAAATTTTCACAAAAAAAAAAAAAAATAAAAAAAATAAAAACATTATTTTGTAAAGTTGTTACGTGTGTGTTTTTTTACTATTTTATTCTATTATATTTCCTTATAATGAATCAAAATGATAATATAAAAAAAAAAACATGACAAGGAAATCCAGATGATAAGATTTTTGGCTGACAAATATAATCGCATCGATCTTAAGAAGAAGAAGAAAGAAGAAAAAAAAGGGATCCTTCTCCATTATAAACAAAACAAAACAATGTGTATTGATGATAGGATAACAAGATCCATGACAAGTGGACAAAATATATGATGATGATGATGATGATGACTTACATGATACATATTCTTCATATCATTTCCACACACACACAAACGTATTACACATTCAATCAATTCCGACATACACAGATGAGACATAATATTAATGAGATCTGTCATGTCATGTGATCATGGGCTTCAAAAATTCAACAAGAGAGAGAGAGAGAAACAAAACAAAACAAGGATTCTCGTGATGCACGAAGTTCTGTACGGGTGAAAAAAAAGTTCGTGTAGCTATAAGAACCGTGTAAATTATCAAAAAGATTGATTTAATCACATCAAAAAAATATATAATGTGTTTATGATTACTTGACAACAATATCAAACTCTCACTCTCACTTACACACACACACACACATCATCATCATCATCATCATAATCATAATTGAAAATCTAACACACAAACACTTGGTATAGCCAAAAGAAGGAAGTGTAAATGGCATTTAGAGCCAGATGATAATATGACAGATGTAGAAAAGAATCTTCAACTACAATAACAATAATGATTTAAGAATCAATATCTGTTATGAAGCTTTAAAATAATCTTTGCCACCACCACCACCAACAACAACTAATCTTTGCCACCACCAACAATGAATGTTTGAAAGTGAAAATTTGTCTCTTTTTTTTAATACCAAAGATCTATGTGATTGTTATTTATTATTAATCTCAACACATTTTACTCATCATCACCATCTCTCTCATACCTGATAATAATGATGATGATGATGATGACGATAGTAAACCAGTCATTAAAATGATGGCATCAACAAAAGAAGAAAAAAAAATCTTATTCTCATCTAATCTTTATTACTTGTATCGGTTTACCACACAGACACAAATACATTGTTGGCTATTCTATTATCATCACACACACACACACAATGTAGCTGATGTAAGAGTGTTGATTGACTGACAAACACAATAATACAGCCAAAAAAAGGCAGAGAAAAAACGGCCATCATTTTGTATTATCGGTCGTTGGTTAATAACAAATTCCACGTAATTAAAATTTCGTTGCAAAGAAAAAAGTGAACGGGCCTTTTTTGGCAACATTTTCAAGCATTCCTTCACCAATCTAATCATTCGTTCGGCTGCACCATTCATCCAAGGCGCCAATGGTGTTGACGTTTTCCAATTAACAGTATTTGTTTGACCAGATAGGGCCAATTTATTCAATTTTTCACGAACAGCCATAAAATTGGTTGCGTTATCCGACCACACTTCCGTCGGATATCCAACTTGATTCCACACGTTCTCAAAGTATCATATAACGAATTTTCGGACAAATTTTCGAGAACACTAACTTTAACCGCTTTTGTTGTTCGACACATAATAACGATTCCATAGCATTTTTACCATTTGCAATAGTTAACGGTCCAAACGCATCCATCATTATACATTCAAATGGCTTCATGAACCGTTTCTGAATTTCATGTTGATGACGATAGTAAACCAGTCATTAAAATGATGGCATCAACAAAAGAAGAAAAAAAATCTTATTCTCATCTAATCTTTATTACTTGTATCGGTTTACCACACAGACACAAATACATTGTTGGCTATTCTATTATCATCACACACACACACACACACACAATGTAGCTGATGTAAAAGTGTTGATTGACTGACAAACACAATAATACAGCCAAAAAAAAAGATATGATGATCCGATCAATACGAACACATAAAATGGACATTATGGAACTTTTATTTGTTCCGCCTAATCTTTTTTTTTCTTCAAATTATTATCATTATCATTATTATATTGTATGCATGACAAAGACACGCGTGTATGCTTTTTTTTCTTGATTTGTAGCATGATTTTTTTTTCCATTTCATTTCATCTGGAAATAAGCAACATATATGAAAAACCACAAATACGAAACAGAGAAAAAAAGATTTTTTTTCCTGTTTTTTTTTCTAAATTTGTTTGACTGTCATCTGAAAAAAAGGGTTTGGTGCGTTTAGATTGACTGTATATTAGTAAAAAAAAAAAATGGAAATCCCTCTTGAATTTGGAAGCCATTTTTAAGGTTTTTCAATATATAACAACAACAACAACAACAAGAAAAAAATGCCGACTGGTCGATCAAATCAACAGATTCAGAAAAAAGAGAAAAATTTTTTTTTCATCTATTATTATTATGTTGTGGCTGGTTATATATGCTGATTTCCCCATCCACACAGCCACCATTCACATTTATTGACAGCCCTAAATTATATTCTTGAAGCAAAAATGCATTCATTTATTGGATATTTTTTTTGTGTCTGGAGATAAATATGAGATGAATCTGTTCATGAAACACCTACACATTTGGATTGATATTTTGCAGCACCACCACCACCACCACCACCTTTTGGATATGAGATAAAATTTGACCTGGAAATTGAGAACGTTTTCGCTAACTAATTCCAAATTTTTTTTTTCGTATAAATCAATCAAAAGAGAACAATTTTCAATCAATCGTTCATGGATACAACTTGTTCGTTTAATTTTTTTTTCTAATAATTTTAATCAACAATAATAGCTTAATAAATGAAAAGATACAATTATTATTATTTGTGCACGAGTTGTTGCACTTCGTGTCAACGAATTTTTTTTTTTTTTTTCAAGTTTACACTTGTCTTTTACAAAGACATACACACACACACATAGAAGTAATTTTCACATGAAAATCAAAAAAAAAAAAAAAAAAAATGAAAAAATAACAATGGTTATGGTTTCGTACACACACACACACAAACACAATGTAGTCATATCATGTATCATATATCGAATCGGTAGTTTTCATCAAATTTGGTTATGGTTGTCATCAAGATCAATTGTTCCATTTGTTATATGATTGGTGTGGAAACAAATACAGGGCATGTAAACGTGTGTTTTTTGTTGAATATTCAAGACCATTCATACACATTACAGACATTGAGACATTTTCATGTCAATAACATCATGTATACACACACACACACACACACACACATAAACAGACAGGTGATGGTGTTTTTTTTGGCATATTGTACATGGATCGATATTACCAACCAAACAACAATAAGAATGAGAATGGTACCATCATATTTATCTATATCTACCTCATTACCATCCAAAGTTCAAAAAAAAGTAACAAAATTAAAATATTGTTGTTGTAGTTGTATTCCCACATTCACTGTTTCTGCATTATTATTATTATCATCATCATAATCATTTATTCAATGATGAATAATGCAATGTTTTTGTTGATCATAACCCATTGAACCTCACCTATGACCTATCAGTTAAATATATTCA